AATTTCTTTTCAACTCATAAATTTAGAGTCTTTCTTAAGAAAAAAAAATTGAAGAGATAAACAACTCATAATTTTAAGTAAATCAACGAGACATGGTGCAAAACCTGTACAAGGCTCAGGTAATAGTGGAAATTTTCAAGTGAACTTGTTTATGAGATGACGTCGTACGGAAGAAAAAGCTAATGATACCTTTATTTCTTGTTTAGAACTGTATCAACTACAGTCCAACTGCATGTTCTTTTGTGCCCCATTTTCTCCCAGCAACAATACGAAATTTTCTTTTTTGAGCAGCAACATGATTAGTCACCCATGTATATGTTCATTTGACAAGCACCTCACTAATGTTGGCCAAACGAAAAAAAAAATAGACAAATAACAAAAGCAAGAAGAAGGCAATAGCTGGGTGTTAACACATGCAATTTTCATTTACCCCAAGAATGAAAAAAGCAACTCCCAATATGCTCGTGGTGATATACCGACCGAAAACCTGTTTTTATTGTACTATTGACTAACTTTGGACCAGCCAAGGGGGTACGGGGATACAGGAATTTGATGTGAATGAGTTGGAAGAACTTTGAGTTGTTGAAAGGTGAAGCCACAAAAAATTATGGTCACGATTCTGCCTTAGCAATTTGTCACTGACCCCGTCCACGGATTTTAAGAACGTAGATATCTCCTGCCCTCAAATTTTCTGTTAAAAGTTGAGGAACTCCGGCCGGCAGCAACGATGATAGTTTCAAATTGATTTCAATTACCTTAAACTAACAGCAGCATCAGACTCTGAGTTACATTTCATGTTAAGCATCTTATTAATCTAATTAATTTATTGAGACAATTTTCCAACTTGTTGATCAATAATTGACAACCTCCTTTTAATTGTAATTTCTAGGAGACGTCACCAAAGACATGACGCTTTGAAAAGATGATCATCCACGAAAATTACTGTCAGATAGAAAGGCCAAGACTACCATCTTTGCAGTACTTCGTCTTCGACTAAAAGTCAGGGTGGATAAAAATTCAACCCTGTTTATCTCACTAACAAATGTCTTTTCTAAAATTTGCCATAAGGATAACTTATTGAGTTGGTGCTCAATGCACCCAGGGTGAGAAATGTATGAACAGATTTCTTTTCTGACTTTTGCAATGAGGATAACTTGAATGACATTTTAAACTGTGCACACATCAGTCATCACACAATGATGCAATTCAGAGAATAAATTGGATATATATAGAGGTGGCAGGATTTAGTGAACAAGACAAAGTGTTTCTTCACCCGATTGCTCTGTGTGTGTGTGTGTGTTGGGGGGGGGGGGGGGTGGGTTATAAGGAAGGGGCATGCACAATGATTTTGGCACATCTCAAAGTTTCATCACCGGAATATATTGGAAAAAAAAATAAAATAAAAGAGTGACTCTCAGAACCAATCGTTCACTAATAATTAATAATTATACTTATCAATTTGATACTTAACTAATTTTTCTAATATTTTTAATCCTACATGAATAGATTTACAGTTCATGCTTTTGTTTCTTGATGCAATAATCTTGAAGCCCAAAAGTGTCGAAAGTGGGGACACCCATGAGCTTTCCCGGCACGGGCTCCTCCGCCGAAAAAGAGCCCGCATGCCATGAAAATGCATGATCGCATGCTTTTTCTACTGTGGGAACTGCCTTTGAAACGTCAGCAATAGGCAGCAAACAATTGGCCAGAAGAACAACGTTGGGCGTTGTTGCGGTAAAATGGCTTTCCCAGTAAAGGGGTGGTGGGATGTTATCTCCGACGTCCAAGTTGATCTCAAAGAGGTCCTCTTCTTCTTCTTCAGCTTCGATATCATGATCAGTTGCAACTTTGCTGCAAGCCATTGCCTGTAATTCTTTGGTTGCAGCAGCATCCTTGGCCATGCTATAGATATAGATAGATACGATGAAGTGTCTTTATGGAATTTCTGTTGACCAATTAAAAGTATATGTGTGCAGCTGATGGAACGTTGTTCTATGCGTTGCGTGCTGGAGAGCTATTTATATATACGGTTGGATTGGACCGGTGGGGTTGCTGGCTGGAAGGTGGATGGAGGATCGCTCCTCAACAAATCTACAACTAGCTATTTCCAACACGAACTGAGGTCGATGCACCCATTTTCAAACCACGGAATCCACCAATATATCAACATCCTGTAGAAAAACACGTAATACACCAATCTAGCTTGTCGTTTTATTGACCGGAGGAAAAAGGACAAAGGAATCTCAAGATTGAAGAGTGAGATATTGAGGGGCAGGTCTTTCGTCTTCTAAAAGGACTTGAGTTAATATTTTCTTTTACTACTTTTTTTTTTTTTTTGTTTTACCACATTCTCGTGTAGATGAAGAAATGGTTAAGTAAACTCTATTTTCTTGAATTGCAGTGAGCATGCTGATATATATATATATATATATATATATATATATATATATATATATATATATATATATTGGATGGACCTTCTTTTATGTGCTCTGCCTACTTCAAGTGATCAGTCATGGAGATCCAATTTGATAAAAAGGAAAAAAAAAAAAAAAGGATATACTGACAAGAAGTCATATGTAGATTTGAATTAGAACATTCTTGATTCAGATTGGAATTGTTCATGTGCACCCGCCGAGCTTGGCAGACACAGAAAATTGAAGTCAACAGAAGTAGAGCTAACTACCTGAACGGACCACAAGATGTTGCACCCTATTTCCAAATTGCCTAATTCTGATGGATAAGCAGCAAGTAGCTTTTGGGACATGAGAGTCTCAACTCCCGATGACGAGAGACAAGAGTATCGACTCCTACTCGGATTCTGGTCATCCAAGCAACCAAATCAAAATACAGAATTGGATACATACACATTAAAAGATTCTGGTATTGCCGTACTGATACAATTGCAACTATAGACTATTCGAACAGTATGGACTATTTTTTTTTTTTTTTTTTTTTTATGTATGTGAGTAGCAGCATCGGCTCTATGACCCAAATAATAATAATAATAATAATTTAAAGCTCCGTTTGAATAGAAGGAAAGTAGTATAGGAAAGTGAAGTGAAATAATGTGAGGTAAAGAAAAATGAAAATGAGTTTGTTATACGCGTTTGGTTATTAAGAAAAATATTGAGAGAATATAAGAAGTTAAATGATAGTTGCTAGTAGTTACTACTAAAACTTTTGTGAGTAGCCAACTATTTTCCTTCACAATCCTGCATATTTTTCAAGACACAAAATGCAAAAAAAAAAAGTGTAGGAAAAAGCAATAAAAATTTTCAACATTACTGCCAACCAAACATGCATGAAGGGGAAAAAAAAATACTTACTTCACTTTCTCACACTTTTCCCTACAAACAAACACGACCTGAAAGACGACAAAATAGGTCGGCCACCAATGTGGCACCTGAAACTACTACTACATTGAATAATATTAAACAAAGCTTACTTTCTCTCGGCAAGAGTTTTCGTTAACAACACATAAATTAACCTCACAAGATACAACCAAAAGGCAATTGCTGACTTCTGGTTGCACCCATGGAACTTAAGTGCTACTCACACACACACTTAACAAACAAAGTTTACTTTAATTAGCAAAATTCGTCCAATCTACATGTCTAATTTTTCCTAAGATATTCACATAGAAATTGCCTTTACGCAGAAAATGATCTGATTTACTAACATTCCAATAATCACAACTCTGAGGAGTTTTGATTGAAATTTTTTTTGAAGTGTAGGTGAGAATTGGAATCACAACTCTGAAGGAGTCTTGATTGAAATTATTTTTAAAGCATAGATGAAAAGTCTTGAATATAGAATCTTTTATTTATACTCCTTCCTCGTGTATTCATCAAACACCTCACTTTTAGGGATGGCAACGGGGCGGGGGTTGGGGCGGGGGACCCCTCCCCCGTCCCCCGCCCCGTTGCCTATTAGTTCCCCCCGTCCCCCGCCTCCCGCTCCCTCCGCCCCGCCCCGCTTCCCCCGCGGGATTAATAAAATTTTATTATATAATTTTATTATAATTAAATTTTAATAAATAATCAAGTACTAAAATATCAACACATTACCAAATTATTATTCATTGTAATTTTACAATTGAAACTCATAAAAGCAATCAAACAGAAGTTATTTGAATACAATCCAATATGATGAAATAAATATAACTAAAATAGTCAAATTTTCACTTTTAGTACAAATGCAATCACTAATTCATCAGTGTGTTTGTGCTTTTTTTTGAGAAAAAAATGTTATTCTATTAAGTGTAATTAGAAATTTAGTATAAATGTATTAGTAAATTTATTATAACTAATTAATAAATTCTATTAGTAGACATGTATAATTATTCATATAATTGATAATATCAATTATATTACATAAACTAATATACATTATATAATACATCTAACTAATAATATCATTATCATAAGTTTATAACTAATTAACTTACATATAATATATAGTCATTTATATATATATATATTTTTTTTGCGGGTGGCGGGGCGGAGGAGTATACCCTTCCCCCCGCCCCGTTTCTAAGCGGGGGGAAAAAATTCCCCCCCCCCGCCCCAACCCCCGCCCCGTGAGCCCCTCGCTGGGCGGGCACTCGCGGCACCCGCCCCCATTGCCATCCCTACTCACTTTCTTGATTAATGGGAAAATTGGAGCACCCGAATTGTTTGCCTCTTTTCAGTCCAAAGCCAATTCCAAAAAGCCCATGTGTTCATTCAGAATGACTGCTAAACTGTCCAAACATTCAGATTGGCTCACCTTACCGATGGTGGGCTAAATTGCAGACGGGAATTTCACACACCCACTCATCTTTGGGCTTTGGGCAATTTTTGGATAGACTTTGAGATGAGTTGGAGGGGTTCTTATTGCCTGCCCAGTCATGGGCGTCCATGGTAAAGGTCTCAAGAATGACCTTGGGCTACGAGCAATCTTTTTTTCCTTCCCCTAGCTCCTTTTCTTTCCCCCTGGATTTTTTCTTTCCCGTTCCGTTTTTGATGCTTTTCTTCCCCTCGTTCTTTAACCTCCTTTCTTCTTCTCCTTTCCTTTCTTTCGTCTCCGAATAGCAAGTTTGTTGGGTTTTCGAAAGGAGTAGATTCCAAATTGCCGCTCCAAGTCAAGACAGACATACAGCATCTGCACATCAATACCCCCACAGGGACGCAATAGGGAGAAAACGAAGCAGAAGCAGCAGCGTATTCAGTGTTTTATAGTATTGCAGTAGTAGTAGTACGTAGGGAGAGACAGACTAGTAGTGTGTAGTGTGTAGTGTGGCGTATGAGTGATGATGGGGACTGCGATTTCAGTGGAACGACAAGAAGAAGAACAAGAGCAAGTAGTAGTTGGCGGAGGAGGTCTCTCAGCTACAGTGGCAGTCATGGGATGTGCCGCCATGGCTGTGTTTTATGTTGCAATCCTTTATGCTCCCACCTTAATTCTACGCTTGCCCCCGCCCGCTTCCTACAAATCCTTCATGATTAGACGCTTCATCTGCGCCGCCATCTCCTCCCTGGTCTCCATCTTCGCCTCCGCTCTCATCCTCCCTGTAAGCCTCCCCTCTGCTAATTCTTCTCTTTTTTTGCCTCAGTTTATTTTTTTTCCTTTTCGCTGTTAGGCGCCTTAAAAAGCACCAATTGCTAAGATAGTTGCTTTCTTGAAGCTCTCAACATACCCCCTTTTAACTGAAAACTGAGCTGGGTAATATCAGTTTCATCCTTTTCATTGGCTAGAAAACTTCAATGACAATTATCTTTGATGGTTTGTGTCCCTCTTCAACTGTCCTTTTGTTGATAATTGACCAATCAGTTGAAAGTTTTGGTGTGTATTCAGCAGTGCCTTTTGTCAACCGAAGTACTTAATTGAGCGTCTCTTTTGGTTTTGTCATTCTTTTGAGTATCTATTTCCTCATATATAACTTAAAACTTAGTGAACTCGAAGCTGAAGAAGCCAACTTTGACAATCCTTGGGTGAAACCAGATGACCAATTTGCCAAGGAGATTTATTACTAAAATACAGGGTAAAGTGCAGCCTTGGATGAATAGCGGAGCATTACGTTGAATTTCATCTGTGTTAGTCGTAATTTTCATGGATGAATGGTAACCCATACAATGTAGCATGTTGATCCCAATGTTTCCTTCTCGCTTTCTGGTGTATGCACTTAGTCTATCTTGGTTTTGATCTTTAACGCACCTGCTAAACTTTCACCAAATCTGTGACCTACGCTTGATTAAAGGAAAAAAAAAAGAAGATAAAAACACTGATGTGATTGGGATATTTACATCTTATTACTTATTTCAATCTGCTTCAAACAAATTCTGGCCTCTGTATGTTTGATATTTATATCTAATTACTATCCCACCTGTTCGATGTTGGTCATTTGATATGACATTTCAATCTACTTAAAACAATTCTACCCTTGGTATGTAGAGTGTGGCAAACGGTATCCTGAACCCAGCCAATTAAAATACACGAAATGATGCACGGTCCTTGGCTGATCCATCACGAATTTTGATTTCACCCTCTATCCTCTCTTTTCCGCTTATTTTTTATGGGGCCCACGTCTGGTGCAATATGGACACCCTAGCACAGACTATCTCTTGTATGCATGTGTTCTTTCCTGTGTTTATGCTGCCACTCTGCTTATATCTCATATCTACTTAGATTTCATTCAAGGACTTACTAATCTGTCCATCTTTTGATGTAAAATTTTTGGAGTGCCATTTCTGATTTTTATTTCCAATTGTGACTCATTTGTGTCAGCTAAGATGGCATGTACCTGATGTTTCCAGTGCTTTTGGCATAAGATTTGATCATCTCGTAAGTATTCTGTTTGAGTTTGCTTTACGTTATTAGCTTTTAGTTTTGCTTGTGCTTTTTATTAGTTCACATTATTTCTGGATTTGGAGATTGAAAAGGATGACTTACGCTGAAATGCAATTTTGTGTATGAAACAGTGGCAAGCTTTGATCCTTCCTCTCTCTCTGACTTCCCTAATGTATGCTGGGTCATTCGTCCAGAAATGTTTGCATCTCCTTGATTCATGGGAGCAACATCGAAACTATGGCAGAAATGTAACAATTGAGTGGATAAGTAAGGTGCAGGACAAGTGTATTGATTTGATGCTTACGATGCCTTCCAACATCTCAGTTTGGCGCAACTATATTGTGGTTAGTTTGTGTATTAGCTTTTTATATTGCTAAACAATTTTTCTCTTAGTTTTGCCTGTTATATTTTCTCGGAACTGCTTGTCTATTCTGGTATATGTTTTAAAAGGATAGGAAGCTTTTTTCCCCCCAACTTTCTCAAGAGTCAAATGTTCTGTAGCCTTTATATCTTTACTAATTTCTTGTTGGGAGATATCAATGATCTGCAATTCTGGCTCGCTTAGCTGCATAAACCCAAGTTTGCTTGATGATTTTAGATATTTAAAGATCTCTCGTACTTCCCAAAAAAAAGAAAAAAAGAAAGATCTCTTGTACTGCATGAAATGAGTTTGGTTAATTTTGTTGGTTAGTAGCATGCTCATTATGTTTTACACACTGGTTTTTGAGATATATTGTGCAATAGAAGAGTTGATGTTTAACTTGTGTTAGAGATATGATTGGTTTCTGGAAATGTATATGATTACTGGATTAGCTGGGGATACATGGTGCCATCCACTGTCAAGTTTGATATGGTCAGTATATGTTTGTGAGAGCATGAACTTGTTGACATTGTCATTCTTTTAATGTACTTAGATATAAAGCGAAGTGGTATTAACAATGTGCAGATAATCCATTCTTTACAAAATCTGAAGGATCCTTCTGTAAGACTCTCAATATATCAACTACTGATGTTATGTTCTGTTTGCTAGCAATAATGTGATGTTATTAGTTAATGCAAATATGTAGTCAAGTGTATGTCTCCATTGACAGCCTAAAAGCTGAGGAATAGATGTAATATGGGTGGAATGATTCTATGAAGCATTTTAACTGAATTAAAGTCCTGCTTCAGATATGTGTGATTCTGTCAGCAATAAATGGAATACTTGCATGTCACACAGCTATAGTTTTCAAAACAAGGCTGTATAATTTGTTTGGAAGGTACTCTCTAAACAGAAATAACCTGTGATCAGAACTATAATATATTCATATTCTTTTCTAAGTTTTTTTTTAAATATTTGAAATTACAGCTTATGGTTCTAGAACTCTTAGGCATTTTCTCTGTCAATACATTTTTTGTAGCTTTATTTGGAACTTCAATTTAGGGTGGTGGTTAGCTGTTGTGGTCAGACAATTGTGTGCATGAGAGTATGACATAAAAGCTTCTGGTCAAGATTTTAGCTACAACTTATGTTAATGTCAATGCCAATAGATAAAACAGCGGTCCAATGTGAGTTGGAAAAAAAGTAGAACTAACATTATATCAGTCAACAAACTTGTTCAAAAGTGTGCTGTAATTTGAACGTAGCCTCTTTCTTTGTATTTCTCTTTTAATTGGTCTGTTTATGGACCCTCTGCTTGTTAATTGGTTTTTGAACTTTTTGCTGGATATGATTATGCAGGCTCCAATTACAGAGGAGTTGGTATTTAGAGCTTGTATGGTACCCCTCCTTCTTTGTGGAGGTTTTAGCACTTACACAGTTGTATTTCTTGGCCCCATCTTTTTTAGTTTAGGTGAGTGAAGGCTTCCTTTTTTTATTTTTTTGGGAGGTTGTAAGTTCTGTTTGAAATGGTTGAGTCACTTCTGCAAAAAGGTTATCTTACTAAGCGTAATTCAAACTTGTCTTAGGGAAATTGATATATTCATATCACCTAAAATGAAATATGAATTCTACTTTTTTGTTTTTAAATTTTTTTGGGTTAGCAGCGGAAGGGTGGGAGTTAAGAATCGGGGAGGGGAAAGGGGGGAATTTAACCTAGGAACTCTAATTCCTAGGCCTCAACCCTAGCCTGTAGACCAAGGCCGCCTCAGCTAAATATGAATTCTACCTGTTAAGGATTTAATTCATAATATTTTAATACATTAATACAGTAAGATGACGTTCTTTCTTCTGCTTTTCTTTGTCAATTTCTGGGATAAGCAGAGAATTATTTCTTAGGCATGACTGGCATCATGTGGGTTTTTGTTTTTTCCTTGTCAGTATGCTTATTGTTTTGATTGGGCATTTTTCTGTTCTTAAATCACCTTGTATTGCTGGACTGTGAAATAGGTATTCCCCAATCCTGTCAAAGGTTCAAGCTTTAAGTTATACCATCTATCTGCTCTTCATTTTGTTAACTCTTGTCCTTTTCGGAACTTATCTCCAACCATATGCATTACTTGTTTCTCTTATTTACTACTTCACGGAGACTAAGGATATGTTTCATTTTCAGCTCATTTAAATCATATATTGGAATACTATTTCCAGAAAAACAGGAGCTTGGTCAAAGCATCCATGGCTGCAGGTATGCTTCCTTTCTCTGTCAACTCAGAGAACTCAAATTTTCAATTCGGTGAGAACAAAGCAAAAGGAGTTACTTTGCATTTGGTTTAATCCCTCTCTAGTCAGAGAAGAGTTGTTTGATCACTTTTGATGTAAAATTTTGGATAAGAGAATGACACAACATTGACACTCATTTAGTTTATCAAGAAATTAATTTTGTTGAGAGGTACCCTTGAAAAGGTGTAATGTTCAAATTGAAGTAGGATAAGGATCCAACTTGGCATTGATCTTTTTAGGGGCTTCTTTTGATTTATGATTTCTTTTTCTTAGGATTATCTTTGTGCCTCAGGTTCTTTCTGTTCCTGGCTTTTTAACGTAATGCTTATTTTCAGTTTCCTGTTTCTGATTTTTGTTCCAGGTTTCCAGCTTGGCTACACTGTTATTTTTGGGTCGTATGCGTCATTTTTGTTTGTTCGAACAGGTGGGCAAAGCTTATCAAAACATAAATCTTGAAATCTCTTTTTTAACTATTCTCTTTTGGCAACTTGATTAACTGCAATGAGATTGGCTTATCAATCTTAGAACACCTTTAGATCCAGGATAGTTTCATTGCCCCGGTTGAGTAGAATTCTTACATGGGGTTTGTGGTAATTTTAGACATTCTGCTTTTAGGTTTGCCTGCAGGCAAGTTGCTTCCGACAAATCTTTTGCTTTGGAGGATGTTGATTAAAAGATGGGTTATGGGCTTGCTAGTATAATTTCTTCAACGTAGAAAGCATTTTTTGTTTTCCTTTTTTGTCCTCATTTGGCTTATTCTGATTGGCCTATCTTTTGTGATATTCTTCTTGTTTCATTGTGATTTTCAGGGCATCTTATTGCTCCCCTAGTTGCTCACATCTTTTGCAATTATATGGGTTTGCCCACAACTTTTTCACGAAGGGCAGGTATGTGGTCTCAAGCTAGATATCTTTGTCTGAATAGCTCCAAAATATTGAGAAAAATGTTGATTTATTGCTTTAAGCATTTTGATTCATATGTTGTTTGAACTTTCCCTTCTCGCCTTCCTATTTGTCACCATTATTACCTTTTGTTTCTAAAAAAATTTTGCTGCATGATCTTGCCAACTTTTTTTACTCTGGTATGTGCCCTTGAGCTCTCTCGTATTCATAGAGCCCTGAATTTTATGACCTATTATCAAATGAAAAGGCTATTGTGTGCTCCACACAAGAAAAATAAAAAAATCGGCACGCATTGTTTGATAGCTGAATATGTAGAAGTGTGAAGTGGTCTTTAATTTCGGAAAGCAAGTTTTAATTATGAATGCAAGAAATATATTTGAGACAGACCCCATTTAAGATGTTATACAACCAGTTGAAAATGATGCATACAATTCTGTACGTGTTTTTCTTATAGAATCAACCGTGTGACATAGTTGCGTAGACATCCTTAGACTTTTAACAGTGCAGTAATTACTCCAACTGCTGTCTCCCAAGACTTGACAATTTTCCATACATACATTTCTATAATGTTCTATTACGAAAAGATCATGCTTTTGTATTGATAAGGATAATCTTGGGATAACGAATCTTATTATTGTGGGCATGAGAATGGAGGGAAAACGTATGCAACCAGAACAAAAACCCAAGCCAGAAGCAAGTTAATGGAATTTCAAAAGCCATAATTGCACCAAAATCTGGGTGATCAGTGGAGCTATTAGCCTTAAATTAATTCAAAAATTGAATAGTCACGCCCTTTTAAATTTGATCATCACTTAACAGTAGTGTCTGCGCTCTTCAACATGATACTATTAGGGTTTAAGTAAGTTTAGAGCTGCCCCTCCATCTCGAGGTAAATAAGTTAGCACTACCACTTTCTTTCTTTTTTTTCCAACTGGGTGGGCGAAAAAAATTCAAAGTTCAGGATTTTGCTTTTGGGTTTGGTGCATGTTTTGGCATTGCGGCCACGGCTTCTCTTCATCAGTACGTAACTGTTAAGTTATACTATTCTACATGTCTTTGAAGAAGGGAGGAGTAAGTAATCAAGTGATAATCATCAACTTTGGTATTATTACCATAAGACTCTAAAAGCTAAAACTCCACCCGGAATTATTATCATTTTATGTGATCTCAACCCCTTTTCTTCTCCTTAACCCTTATAAAGTTCAGAGTCTCTCTTGAATTTCAAAAACAACAAAATTCTACCTTTTATCCTCCGTATGGATGAGAACACGTAATAAAAGAACCCCAAAAACACACTCAGCATGAAATTGAAAAAGATGAAGGCATGTGCTAGTTGTCCGTGGGTTTGGTCCGATGACGGTTCAAATCCCTCTGAATTTTTTATTAACCCCTTGAATCTATGTCTTTTCCGTAGTGTAGGGTAGAAGCATGAGTAGGTGTAAAATCTATGTGTTCGACAGGAAAAAAAAAAAGAAAAAAAAAAGGGAGAAGTGCTCGTTGTCCCTGGGGAGAGGCATCCTCGCCTTGTCAACCATGAACTACCCGCGTTTAGCCGACCTAATAGATCGGGTCTGTTTGGATTGTAAGTTATTTGGGATTATTTGAGATATTTTTACTGTAGCACTTTTTGTGATGTGATGTATGTGAGATAAAAAAATATTGGAAAGATAAAAAGGTGTATTGGAAATTGTAAAGATGATGTAAGCAAATAAAATTGGAGAAATATGAAACAATCCAAACAAACCCGATTTGTGAGCACTAACGACTCATAATGGGGATTATTTATTTAGTGGGTGGGTAATTAATACGGTGCCGATTTTTCATTGTTTGATGATTCCCTATCACTGATGATCAAGGCAAGTCTGCATGTGTGCGGATTTTCGTGCACGTTTTTGCACAGCTTGATTTCACATGTACGAAATAATTTATTTGTAAATACTCCTGCCTAATGGAAATTGACAGGTATGGAGTGAGGTCAAAAGAAAGATGAAGCTATTCAATGCTCAAACAAGAGGGAATTCTGTTGAGTTTGGTTTGCTAATTAATCATTAATTTACTAAATCATCAAAAGCATGCAAGTTAAGCTTCAAAAAAATGCAACTTTATAGAACGTTAAATACCGTTCGGTTGTAATTCTCATATTGGGTATACTGTCTACATTTTAAATCAGTTTTATACTGTTGGCAAAATTTGTGCAATCTACCCATAAAATCGTAATGTATCCCAAAAAAAAAAAAAAAACTTCGCTAACAAAATTCTTGGATAATGATTATAATTTCACCTTCAGCTGCAAAATAAATAAATAAATAAATAAATAAAATATTGGGGTTCGCGTATATGTCTTTTAATTCTTTTTCCTTTGATTTCTTCCTTGGGCCCCATTTACTTCAGTGCCACTACTGGCCTGCGCGATGCACAAACCCTCTTTACCCATACACTCTGACGTCACTCAAAAGAATGGGACCATGGCTCTCAACCGGGTGGGTTTTAAAAAGTTTGGTTGCGTTACGCCTTCAGCCCAATGTCATAGCTTTCACATTGAACAATTAACAATTCTTTCCTTGCACGGCAGCCTGATCTCGTCAGCCCTTTCGTGGCTCAGACCTGTCCCAATTTTCTGAACGAGTGTTTGGCTCATACTGGAATTCAAACAATTTGGAATTATAAATCGTTACGTGATTAAATGAAGTTTTCGTCCTTTTTTTTTTTTTTTTGGTTTGGTTCGGTTTCGGTTTTGGTAATATTTAATTTCGTCATCGACAACAGCAGCAGCCGCTGCTGCCGGGATGGTCGGAAACAAATTTGATTTAGGCTCCGTTTGATAACACTGAATCTGAATTCTGAATACTGAAATAATTAATTTGCTGAATTTTAAGCACTGAAAAGAGATATATGAATGTCTGAATCTTAATGCTGATACAGATTCTTATTGTTTGGAAGGCATCTATGACTATTAATCTATCGTTTCATTAGCCCCTTCTATCACTTTTGTTTTGTCATTAACCACCAAACAGGCCACTTTCAAAATGATTCCGCCTTGCTGTTCAGCATTTTCAAACTCCCCACCACCCCCGGACCCTTCTCTGCCTCTCTTGGTCACTCAAGTGTCCCTTCTCCTTCCCTTCCTTATTCCTCTCAAGAACCTGTGGCCTCATCTCTCTTTTAGATCTCAAGTACTTGAGATTTTATATATCTGGCATTTTTTTGAATGGTATAAAATTACTAGTAGAGAAACCCAATTTGATAATCAGAGACAATATTATTTACTTGATGGGCTTGGTTTTGATTTCAAATTTTTATGCTTGATTCTTATTATTAATTGGGCTGATTTTGATGTGATTTGGCTATGGATTTTGGTTCGTAGTAAGCTGATGAAGACCATTTCTTTCTGAAATTTAAAGACCTTGATCCGGATTTATGTTGGTGCATTTAAGGTGCCACTGAAATTCGTTACTTTTTTTTTTTTTTTTTGAAAATCTTCAACTTTAATTGGTTAAAAAAAATTGATTCTCCTCTATAAACGATTTCAAAAATGCACGTGGAAGCTTAGAAGGATGATGTCAATGAAAATTCCATCGACGCATGGCTGCCGCCGTTGATGGTTGAAAATTGTGGTGGTAAATGGGTTCGATGTTTTAACTGTGAACGTCAAGGGGAGGATAACAAAAGAGAGAAAATAGAATAAGAAAAATTTAGAAAAACAAAAACAACAACAATCTTAGAATCCATAGCTGAAAAAACAGCTTATGAAAGGCTTGTATTGAAGGTTGAAAATAACCTTATATTTTTTATTCATCAATTTGCTATTTATAGTGTCGTCGTAAAACAAACTAATATAATTTTTCCAATTAATAATTATTCTAAAAACTCTCAACAATACGACTTGATAACATAATATTCTACTACTAGCAAATATTAGCTAAAAACAGTTGTTAACAAACTAACATCATGATCTTTGATTAACAAATATCCTAACAATAAGACTTATTTAATTACTAACTAGTATAAAAAATAATCTAAAATATTTGTAGAAAAAGTTGGCACATCTCAAGAAAGTCAAACCAGGATCAGGACAACTACTTTGCGAAATGTGGGGCAGCGTGAGGTCTGAGAAATGAATTTTTATTGCGCCTCTCTTGAAAAGACCTAATGTGAACGCCCATATTGAAATTTTCTTTGTACTTAGTTTGCATTTATATAAACTTCCATCTCTTTCTGCTTAATCCAACTAGATAACCACACAAATGACAGAACTAGCTCTTTTCTGTACTAGACACACGTTATCTCCATGTTTTGAATCCCATGTTAAAGTTTGCTCAGAAATAGCAGTAGTTATTCTCCGAGGAGCAAGGATGGACGAGAATGTGCACATTTTATTCCTATGATTTGCTAACCCATCGTTTGCATGTAGATGATACTGCTACATAAAATACCACCGCGGATATCAACGCACTGAACTAAATACCACTGTTTCCGACAATTGAGCAACAAACATATACCACTAGGGAAAAGACATGTCACATATATTGTTGAAGTCCTAGCTAAAGTTAAAACTGCCACAGTTGAGTTTTGCATGATACATCTAAGGCCCCAAAGAACAAAAACAGGATACAACAAAAGATACTGCAAGGATATACCGCTACCACCATACTAGTATTCATATATAGAAACTGTTGCTCCTGATGGATGGATGCCGGATGGATGGATGGATGGAGGGACAGCTACCAAAATATTGTCCTATGCAAAGACTACAATTGATACTGCAGCGAGGTAACTACCACTTTGACTCCTATGGTTTTGCAAAAAATACGTACTAGTAATACTAAAAGAGGGAGGAGTCCTAGCTAGGCGGGCCCAAAGATGTCCCAGGCAATATTTTGCTTCAGTTGTTGTTGGACTTGGAAGCGCCCGCGCTGGAGCTGGAGCCGGAGCAGAGATTAAGATCAGGAATGGAGTCAGAGGAATGATTGGGTCTTGGGTTCTTGTTCCCATGAGCTAGCTTGCGTTTCAGCTCATTCAGCAGTGCTTGATTCTCTTTGTTCAGCAGCTCTGCTTTCTTCCTCAGCCTTTCGTTCTCCTTCATGATGTAACAGTTTTCCAA